ATCTTCTTGTCGGCTTCACCTCCAAGGCCACCTCCGATACTGTCGGCCATATCACCCAGAGTCCCAGCAACATCAATAGGAGCGGCGGCAGCAAAGGGAGCTGCAACGAGCAGGGAAGCGAGGAAGGTTCTTAGGAGAGCCATTTTGATAGATTTATCGTTCGTTTTGTAGTTTAAATTGTAAAATATGTTGTTGAAGTGAGAGAAGTGAAGTGGTTCCAGCCGTTTCACTCAGTTGGCAGCTCGATCGTATAAATCGAATGTCGAAATGTAATGAAGGTAAGCTTTGAGTTCGAAACAAAGCAACAAAAGAGTGCTATTAGAGGAGTTGTGCGATCAACGCTCCTCTCTTGTTGTTGAATAAGGATCGGTCGTGTTAGTTCGCAAGTTCGCGATACACTGTTCAGTATAACAATGAAAGGATGGTGATTAACAAGCTAAATGGGACTGTCTAGCAGCACAAAGAGGGAAAGGAAATCAAGGGAAAGGAAGAATGAGAAAATAATGGAAGACTGAAAAAAGACGTCTTCCAACAATGAATAAACCGAACAATAGAATAAGAATGGCCGCCCAGCAGCTGACAATGGGTGGGAGATGTGGGTTTAATAGGAGAAAACCGAACAATAGAATATCGGCCTCTCACTGGTGGCTTCAACATGTTCAGATCAAGCTTCGCTGCTTCAGGAGGGAGCCGCAAGATCCATGGCGGGGATGAGGCGCTAGGGGCCGTGGATCCAGGGCTTCGGCGCCAGGGACAAGGGCCTGGAGGTGTTGTTTAGTTTAGTGTGCTGAAGCCTGTACGACTATAGTCGCCAAGTCAAACGCCTGGGCCTCACTCCAAGAACCCCTTGGAACCATCAAGATTTTCTGTTTTCGGTGGGGTTTTCAATGCTCATGCTTGCTCAGCCAGCTTGTTAACTTGAATCGTCAGCTCTGCCACAGGAGCTGGGGATGCGAAAATCTGGCACACTTGCGGTGACATCGAATCGACGACGAAACCATAATTGCTTTGAAGCAGTTATAATAGCGTATGTAACTGTATGGGCATCTGATCGATAGCCATCACTGATTGGTATATCCAAAATTGGCGTTTGATTACTGATTCTCAAAAGCAACAATCATAACCGCAATAGCAGCACGTCCCTTGTTTTTTTTCCGCAATGCGTTGGGCGAGAAGAACCGTTGTCGTTGCCCACAACCCGCAGACCCAGTCAAGTACCGCCAATGATACGCAGCAAATGCCGCCTCATCACTGTAAATCAAAGAGCTGGCGCGTCACATGTAGTACAGTAGTTGCACTTAGCTAACGGTCAGTGCTTTGAGTGCTGGTAGCGGCACGATTAGCTCATCACTATCCGTAATCTTGTTGCCTTTAAGCAAGAGGCAGAGAAAATCCGAAAATCCAAAAGCCTCCATCCAGGGCATATGCGAGGATGATCTCGGCCGACTCCTGCCATCAGCTAGTCTTTGCATCACATCCCAGACTGTCAAGTATCTTGAAATGAATCTTGCCGGCCAGGCCAAGACCCAACTAAGAATATTACCCATGAACAATGCACATTAGCAATATCACAGCGGTTTTGTTCCTCAGTTGAGAAAGCGTGATAATGCAGTACGATTGGCGGCCAGTACTGAATCTCAATGTCACATCATCACGGAAGATCCACTCACTGGAAACCGGCCAAGCCCTTCCAAGAATCGGCGCTTGATGACCCCTGGCCTATCCCTGTCAATCCCAAGTTTGAAACAAGTGCCGCTAGGCTTTGGCGTCTGGAGCTGCCAGGCACAAGTCGATTTGGTTGGCTGCTGAAGTCTCTTCCCACGCGGCGTCTTATATCCAAACGACGCTGATTCGAAGCGCCGTGTTAACAAACGCTAGATGTCTCCAGATTCGAGGTGATACGTGTGCAAATAGTCTTTGTTTTGTTTTGTCTGTCGTATGTCGGAGAAAAAGTTTGCAAATTGTTCTAGCGTGCGCCCCTTTGCAAGATCTTCTCAATGGCTCAGTGTCGCAAATACAGAGCCAAGGGGTTGTTTTGGCAATCCTGAAGGGGCTCTAACGGCCGAATACAACGGACGATGAGTATCGTGGGGGGTGCTAACCCCGGGCTGTCGGGGATATAATAGGTAGGGCGCCATGCAGGTCACGGGCTAAGCGTGTCTCGGAGACAACCAGGGAGCAAGGTACTGTATCGAATTCTGGTGTGGCTCAGCAGGTGAAGGCCAGCGAAATGACCTAAGGGCATGGTTCAGCAGATTTGGTACTGATCAAAGAAGTCGACCTTCTCGAACAAGGCAAGCAGCTAAGGGCGATTCACCTGATTTGTGTCATCGATCATGGATCGTTATTTTGATTGGGACGACACTGGATAAGACCAAGGTTGGCACGGTTGAAACACAACCAACAAGCGATGGCCTCGGTAGAACTCTTCAACTGTGGAATCATTGTCTGCGTTTGGGAATAGCTTCTTTTCTTCACATGTTTGAGTTGAGTAAGGTATATTGGCAGTGATTTGGAAAGCGATGCCCTTGAGGTAGTTACTCATGACTAATAACACAAGGGATCACTGAAGGGAAGGAGCGCGCTTACAGAACCCTCCCTGCCAAGCGACCTATCAAAGGCTATTTTCTGGGTCTAGTAAAACAACAACTGACAACATATGGTTACCTCACTTTTTGTTAACACAAAACACAAAGACACATCAAAACCGATGATCGTCTTTTTGAGTCGGGCCTTGACATGTTTTGAGCTGACGAAGTTCTGAAACTCGCAGAATCGCATCTTTGGAGTCTAGATCGTGGCGAGACGGACTTGACACACAGACATCCTTGCCCTATATCATCCATTGTCCACTGACGGCCCAGTCATTCTGCCGGAAAAACTGCCATATGTACGACACTACGGAAAAGCGGCAAGTGATTTATGTACCGCGGAGAGGCTCTTGCTCAAATGTGGTTGATCTCCATTATCAATCATGGCTTCTTTTCACCTGGACGATGATGTGTCATTCTGGCCTCCACACAACACGGCCCAAGCCGGAGATTGAATGACACGGCTACCTTCCATATTCTATACGCATAAGTATACACCGCCTTCTATGGTTTCATAAGTGATCAACTATTGGGTTGAAACCCCATGTGACTGTCTGTTTAATGTTGCCAAGGCCATATCAAATTTCCGAAACCGTATTTCGAGACTTGAAAAATGAAGCACAAGGCAAGTCAACACTGCTAGACACGCATATAGAAGGTCAACATTGACCCTAGAACTCCCAAGACTAATAGCTGAGAACTTATGCGATTTCTTTTTGCTGTCAAAGCTGTATGCGCACGGGTAGTAGTCCAACTGTAGTTATCATAGTCTGCGCTTGATGCGGATGGTTCTCATCCCTACAACTTGAGGTCTTCATTAGCTCAATCTCCCAAATAACCATAAAATATATTCCCTTAGGACTTGACCTTATACTTCCAAACATTTCTTTAACCATAAGTAGTTTCGGAAGTAATGTTTCGTTGTTTGACAGACGAAGTTTCAGACATTTCCTACACGAACCCCTTTTCGGGATTAACATGCTTCTAATCATTCTTCGGTGTCCCTCTTTTGTCTGATCGACACAAGATCTAATGCAATGAAAGAAAACATGCATGTCATCCATTACGTCCACAATCTCGACAGCACTTTCGCTACCGATTTATCCACCAATATCATCCCATGACTCCATTCGAGGCAGCTCTGCACCATTCAGCCTTGCCCTCAGGTCGTGGAGTATTACAAATCGAATCTGACACATCCTCCGTTCCAACTGATCAAAGAAGATCGAGGTTTGAAGTTTTCAATTTGGAATCATAAAAGTCTAACTGTTGCCGAAGCGTTTGTGCTCCTTCTCCAGATCAGCCAGGCCAATTTGGCTACATCTGTTGAACGCTGAAGGAACAAATCGACATATCTACTCGATGGATTCGCAGTAAAATTTAGGCTATTGTCTCTCTTGTCGATTTAATGGCCTATGCCAGCTGCCTCTAAGACATGTTGCACTACAAAGTCCTCGATAATATTTCACAGCAAAATGCAAAGGATCAATGCAATGTTGGCTTGGCCTAAATCTGGCCCTTGGAGGAATCAGATAATGTCATTTGTGAAACTACTAGCTCTTTCTCAGAAACGTTTGGGTCTTCAATTCGTATCATTTTCAATAGCCTATGTGGACTACAGTTAGAGTGTTTCAGTTCTCTCTCTGAGTCAATCAGCTACAGTCTTCTGCCTTGTGGAAGAAGCATAGCCTATGATGCTTTTGGATCACGTAATTTCAGGAAGATCTTTATCAAGACATTTCTATTTATTTCGAAACTGGGGAAGCTAGGGCACAATTTACAAAAGAAAAGGTAACCCCCGAAGCCCAGGTGACCGAAATCCTAAACCAGCTTTAGACGACTTTATTATAATAAGTCCTAAGCTTTGACTGTTTTTTTCTTCCTTTTTGTATCCTAATTAAAGGTCTTAAGTCTCCTAGAGGTTACAACTTCGAAAGCGGTGGTCAAGATCAATATTTCGCTAACAAATAAAAGACCAACCTATAATCTGCGACTGAAACTAAATTTGTGTATATAATCTTATATTACTAGACTCCCTATTATCGAAAAGGTTTCCAACGCCCTGGCTGTCTGTGTTTTAGATGTTTGTCCAACTCCGGGGATGTAAAGAGAAGTGAAAGTGTTGCAAACAGTGAACTGGATTAAATTTCAAGATTTGTTCGAGAAACGGTCCTTTTCTCTATCTGTATACCCGAGTGAAGATTTACTATCAAAAAAGAACCATGGGTATTAATCAATGGCTAGATGCCTATTAAGACAGATATTCCTTGGTAGTACAAGCTATCTGGGAAGTGCAATGATTCATGAACGTTGATAGATTTGATACACCGCGGCTTTCCTACCTATGTATCTGCATTGCTTCTATGACTCAACTTCTACTGTCTTCGAGTGACTCAAGAAAAGTATATACCGAGTTCGGCATCGGTCGATAACTTCTGACGCCGAGGAGCGGGGTCAGCTTCTTCGACGCCTTCCCATGACTGCAGGTTCCACATTGATTCCTCATCAGCATCAACGGATATAAACATCGGCTTCAGCCTGAGTCCGACTCTCGAATTGCATAAAGGCCAGACTTTTCCTTGAATCGATTAGTGATTCTGTCTCACATAACTATCGGTACAGTTGCCTATCGAGCTCCAATATGCCTGATTACGCCTCTATCGAAACAACTTTGGCTTCTATAGCCGCAAGCTCTCAAACTATCGAGCTTCTTCGAGACCTTCACAAGCAAGCTCTCGACGAGCCTCCCTACGTCAGCACAGATGGACCTGCCTCTACCGCACTCGACAAGTTTGTCGCATTGGACCCCGACAAGTGCGCCTATGTATACCTCCTTCTGCGATCTATGAAGGCACGTTTCGTTGTCGAGGCTGGGACATCATTTGGTGTTAGCACTTTATACCTGGCTCTGGCAGTTTCTCAGAATGCTGGCTCGCAGCCAGGCAAGGTCATTGCAACTGAGAATGAACCTACCAAGGCTGTTAAGGCTCGCAAGTATTGGAGTCAAGCTGGTGATGATATAGAGAAGTTTATTGAATTACGAGAGGGAGATCTGCGAGAGACGCTCAAGACTGATCTGCCAGAACAAGTGGATTTCCTACTCCTAGACAGTGAGTCAGCTCCCGCAACGATAAAAGGATTCTTCTCTTGTCCAGTATTACTAACCATAATGCAGTTTGGACCCCTCTGGCTCTGCCTACACTCAAGCTTGTCAAGCCGCGCATGAAGCCAGGCGCTACAGTAGTTGCTGATAACACTGAGGCTGCCAAGGCAGGTTACAAAGACTTGATGGCTTATCTAGAGGACACTATCAATGGTTTCAAGATCACGACGGTTCCATATTCAGGCGGTCTTTTAGTTGCTGTGTATCTAGGGAACTAAGCAGTCCTTTCACAGATCAAGGAGGGCAATATTATCCAAGAATCATGTAAATTGCAATTTCAGTGAACCTCTAGAGTAGTACCTATTATCGACGTATGAGAGCCAAAAGATTGGTAGTAACTTTTGATTGAAGTCTATTGAATGTTGATCATTATTCGTTGATGATAATCGGAGGTTGAAAATGAAAAACATTGATTGGTCCTTCTTTAAGAAATTTGAGACGTGCTGTATTGTACTGAAGACACCAACGAAGTTTTCCCCATAAGACAAAAATATTGGATGTTGATGCACTTTAAGAATGTGTGATTCCATGATTTAAGAGGTGGAGATATGAACTCGGCATTTGCTTATGGAGTATCTGCAAAACCGTGGTTATTTATGACAGGGATCGTCATGCAGAAGATCATCGGCAGTTGAGGGAGATCATGAATATGTTAATATTCTTCAACAAGTTAGTATGCAAAGAAATTATTACCCTCTTGACAATGCATTGCCTCTTGGTGTACAATCACTCGATGTTGAATGACGACGCACGGTAATATAGGGTACGCGATGACGATCAAAATTTGATGCTACCTTAAACATGGCACCATGATCAAGTGACAAAAACACTTGGACAATTTTATGATGAGTTTAGAAGACTTTTGATTGGTTATTTTTAGCTATCTAACTGAAGATCTCATGCCTTTTTGCTCTCTAGGGACAGGGCACATCATAATATTAGATCGAATGGCATCCCAAGACAATCAATTATGTTTCAGACAAAAGACTCACCTCATCTGACTGCTCCCTCGAATAAAAAAATGGCTCTTGGAATGAATTGCTGAGAGTGTTCAAGACTAACGAATCGATAACGCATCAACAAGAGGAGTAACGGGAAATAAGCAAAGCCGAGGAGAGATCGCGCCTGGCGCGGCGCTAGCAGATGAACAACTTTCAGGGTCTTGCAGGGGGTCCGGGTGGTTCTTGTGGAAATCATGATGCGCTGGCTCGAGCGAGAGGCTATTCTGGATGGAAGAATCTGACGATTGGGTGCAATGACATGATAAGTTGCTGATTCAGTCGGTGCTTAGTTACCCAAGCTACCAAGGCAGAGGCTGGACTGAGGACTTTGGTCACACATTTGGTCAAAGTGAGGCGTCGGCTTAGGTGGATTGGATGTGATCCATGTGTGATTGATGGCTGGGCTGGGCTGCGAAGAAGAGAGTGGAGGTGCTAAGGTTTATCTACTGACGCTGGAGCCGTTTGTTACCAGATGAATGAGATAACAAAGATTAATTTGGTTTCCTTTGTTTTGATCGTTGCTAGAGAACCGTTGCTGGTAGGTTACCTGCAGTTACAACCACAATTCCATAAAGCTGAACTCCCACATGTCTTGTCTTGTCTTTTGCTGTGGAGATCCGTTGCCGCTAAGCACGCGACCTCCACTAGGTTCTTTGATAACGATCCGCCGTGGACAATTCTTGTGCCAGCATAAACAACATGCAACTGTACTTACCAAAGAAGCAGAGTCATGTGCTGTGACGACGTGGCCATGACGGGTACGGTAGTATCAATGCCTTATCTTGAAAGGCCGCATCAGAATGGGCGGGTTGCAATACGAGCATGCACATTTACAAGGCTATGTAAGACTTTCACTGCCACTCACGACAAAACAAGACCTGGGCTGGATATACGCTGCAGCCACCCACGCAATCTAGGCTTGGTTGAGTAGTGAGACGGGCATTGAAGGGAGAGACAATAAAGATAACTATGAGACTCGAGTTAGTTTAGTTGCTGGCAGAGGGGGGTACTCAGTTGTGGAATAATAACAACAAATAAATAATCTGTAGCGAGGCAGAGTGAGGGGAGGGGGGTCTTTCGCTACCTATGCACCTCAGTTAAGTGCGGTGCGGTGCAGTGCAGCAGCAGCCGCTAATCAACGCCTCCCATTTCCGATTTCACTCCCACTCAACGGCTGGCTGGCTCATCTTCCTTTCCTCTTCCTCCCGTCCTTCTATTTTCCATTTCCATTTCCATTCCCCAATCCTTCTCTACCTATCTTCTTTTCTGCTTCTCCCCTCTCTTTTTACCTATTCGAATCTCAATCTTACGAAATCACCTCTCATCGCCTTTATCTGTGACCGTGGAGTTCATTTCGGGGTTCCCATCTCATCGCTTGTCGTATCGCAACCCATCATATTTCCTTTTTTTATTACCATTCCCCTCCCTGGAGGTCAATCACCTGTTTCTCATCCCTCCCGTTCCCTCTCCCGTTCGTCTGTGTCCACCGTGAACCAACCGAAACTTTGGGGGCTCAATCTCCAGCCCTTGAATCTTGTGGTGCCGATAACTTCTTTCTCATCCTTCACTGTCAACAATAATCTGCTCCTCTTCATCCAACAACCACCGCTGCATCCTGTATTCGAGTGTCATCCTGCAACTCCGGCCCTGACCTTATTGAGATGCACTGGGTGCCGGCCTTGGAGCCATCTTATGGAGAACCTGGAATTGCAATCAGATACCGATATCGATATCGATATGGGAGACTCTATCAGTGAACATATGGATACAGCCGATGACGGCCACACCGGCCCGCGTGCGCCTTGTCCTACCTCTATTCCCCCATCCGCCCTTCTGCCTATCCGAGATAGTTATACGTCACGAAGGAACGACCTGAGCGATGATCGAGACGATGATGCCGACTCCGATACAGAATTTGCCTCCATTATGGCATCGTCCATGTTGAACGGCATTCTCAATACCGCTTCCAACCCTGTCTCTCCCGGCTCATCCAGCCCTTCTCACGATCAAGCCAAGACATCCGATTTCGTTCCTCCGACGAGACCGAGCAGCACACCATTTCCTCATCCTGATCGCCGACACTCCAAGCCATGCTGCTTGAGCGGTTCTCCGCATGGCGCCGACCACGATACTCCCACTGATTCTGCTGCTTCCCCCGATAACGAGCCAGTGGTCCTTCCTCGCCCTATAACCGACTTCAATCAGCTGCCAATCGAGGTTCATGAAGCGATACTAGATCATTTGTTTGGGTACCGAGTTTCCGCTACATCGCGAAGTTCAATGGCCGTATCGAGTATTACAAAAAGTTGGGGAACAGCGCTTAGACATTCGAGGAGAAGGGAATTGACGGAGTTGGCACTTGTGAGCGATGTTTGGCGGATTCTTGTTCAGCAACGGCTCTATCGCCATATCAAACTCAAAGCGACTGTCGACTGCTTGGAAGATGCTATGGTTCACCTTGCTCTGCACGAGCACCTGCAATCATATGTCAAGCACATCGAGGTCTGGTTCCCCGTTTTCCAACCGACCTATGGACCCGTCGCTCTATCGAATACTCTGACGCTGCCTACAGTCACAATGGAAGGACTGACTAACGCGACATACACTTTACCTGGTAACAACTGTACCCTTGAGCAGGTGTTTCAATTTGTTGGACAGACTCTACCCCAGGCCAGAGTTTTGACCTTAGAAGGAGGCGAGCGACGCAAGGCACCGAGAGTTCTTCACTTTCCCGAGCAGAGGATCGACCCGGCCATCTACAAGCCTCTGCCTGTTCTTGAATCGGTACAGACGCTAGTCACGAGGGGCCAGTGGAATCTCATGAGAGACGACCAGGACTTTGCAACAGTTCTGAATGCTTTGCCAGGTCTTTACGAATGGCAGGGTTCTTATAGTAAACCAAAGTCCAAGAGCTATATTACTATGGCCGAGTTTCTCCCAAAACTCCCACGTCACATCACGAATTTGAGTCTTTGCCTCGAGAGCGACTATCGTCGGGAGGGAGTTATGCCACCCTTCTATTCGAAGGTCGTACAGAAGACGCACATTTGTGCAAGGATGGCCGAGGCGTTACCTTCGTTAGAGCATTTCGCCTACACCGGCCGTGTTTGTCACCACTTTTTCGATGTGGCTATGCGATCAACCGACCCACGAACTTCCCGACTGAAGACTCTGGACTTGACGGTCAAGAATTGCTGCCGATACAACACGAGCTTCCACGAGGCTGGCTCTGGCATTCAAGATATGGGATTCATTGATGCATTTGAAAAGTTGGTACTGTCAGCGATTCGATCATTGGAAAAGCTCAAGGAAGTGATTTATCTCAGGATTCGGTTTGTTGATCTTGGTAAGTTTATCCGCAGCTCAACCTTGAATTCCTCATTAACATAAATATTAGACTCCGTACTGCCTCCTCTCAACCCATTTTTCATTATGGGCAAGGGTGCTTGTTCTGGCGTCTGGAGCGAGAGGATTTTGGCCGAGATGGGTCGCGTTCGCCCCGATGTTCATTTTCCAGAGTTGAGTGAGTCCTTTGGCAACATTGTGTACAACAAGGACGGAAGAATGGTCATTACGCCTGACCCCCCGAAGACGAAGATTGCATCGCTCAAGCTGTCGAATTACCGATCTCTCGCGACAGGCATCACGATTCAGTGAGAAATACATGCCAATACGGCAACATTGTGGATCATAAACCGCAGAAGACAACCAAAAGATCGATCTAGCTCGATTGTACATATGATACATCACTCTTTTTGTTTTGAGACGGCGTTTAAGGTTTGGAATTATGGAAAGGAAGCTGTTAATTGAACTACATACCCAGGAGATGGGGAGTTATGAGGGCGCATGTATACATGGGAATTGCTGGCATGGCTTTACTTGGCTTTGAGAAGAATTTGCTTGGGATCTGTTGAAAAGTCACGAACATGGAAGAGAATACGGCGAGGTAATTATCTCAGGGATGCGAGCTTCCATATACCCTCTACGATACTGGCGATTTGGTATTATAATCGATGAATAAGATTGTCTGAATATTTATGCTATCTTTCTCATCAATAAAATATTCATGCTTACTATACGCTGGCTTTTGTATTTCCAATTTTCCAAGGGTGGGCATCAGGAGGCCGTTATTCGATGTGGAACTTAATAGTCGATCGTGTGGACTGAGCAGCGCCGTCACTAATGATGACACCCAGAATCCAGCAGTTAACCAAGAAGAAGCCAAGCGAGGCAAGCCAAAGGCCGGGGAAGAAGGTACTGATGCCGAGAAACTCGAGCTGGTAACCCTGTTGCAACCAGGCAGCTTGGGAGGCTATCCAGAGCAACAGAGCTGAAATGCCGAGCTTAGGGTTACGCAGGAAAGATGAGTTAGGGAGATAAAGTGGTAGGAAGATCATGTACCAAAGGAAGTACTGATAGTATGTTAGTTAATGGACGGTCAATACGGGAATGAGGGTGACTGACCTGGGAGGTACAGACTTTGTTGAACGTAACAAAGGCAAAGGTCTGAGCCATCATCGATGTCGCAAGATCGCGCTTGGCGAGAGTGAGAGGAATGAGAACGCAAGATAGGAGAAGTTGAGGGAGGAAAGCGAATGACTCGATACGGAATGAAGGCGCAGCATCAGCGGGAGTGGCAGAGGTGAGATACAGCAGGACATTGTAAGGCGAGAAGTTGTGACGGTGGTCGATCCTTGTAACATGATGGAAATAAGTATGAACAAGGAAAGGAGTCTCATAACTGTGACTCGGTCAGTTGTGCTGGCCCAGATGTTAGTGTGTGAGGACTTACATGGAGAACATGATGAGATTGAGAATCATGAACGTTATGAGACTGAGAAGTCCAAACTTAAGGCGGTCCGGCGTGAAGAAGCTTGAGATCGCTTCCTTGTATGATGAAGGACGAGGAGCAGGCTTTGTCTCTTTTCCCAAACGTGCATCGTCCATCCACCATACAATAGCTGGTGCATAGATGAAGGGGTATATCTTGAAGTGAACCGACAATCCAAGAACGATCGCAGCAAGACTGAGTCTTCGTCTCTCAACAGCCCATAGCAAACCCATCGTCAACACACCCAAGAGGCCTTCTGAGCTCCCACGGGTGCTGATAGTCGCTACCATAGGGTTCCATAACCACAGTGCAGAAAAGCCTCCAGCTGTAGCTTCATCCATACCCCTCCGTCTAAGCACGCGCAGAATAAGCCATCCCGCCAAAAGATCAGCCGCAGCAAAGACCAGCTTTCCAAAAGCGGAGAATCGGACGGTTGGTAGGAGCAGCCACGCGAGCAGAGGCGTGTAACGATATGTATCGCGAGCATATGGTGATGAGCCTTCTGCGACAAAGCGGGAAGCGTCGGTAAAGACAAGGTAGTCGATGTCTGTGTATTTCAGGGCTGAATGGGCATCTTGATAGAGGCCGTAAAAGAGAAGAACGAGGCGGAGGAAGAGAGATATAGTGAAGAGTGGCGTTGTGCGTAGGAAGGGGGTTATTGAAGGCATTGTGAAGGTTGAGATGAGATGAGATGAAGATGACAGTTGGCGGTGAGTATATGCGTGAGATGAGACGGTATGTAGAGGGACAAAGGCTTAGAAGACCATAGCTTATAACAGAGTATGCCCTCTCAATGTATCTCGGTTTTCTTCTTATTCCGATTCACCCAAAAACTATTGTTGTGTGCCACTCAATGGCAGTTTGCTGATGTTGAGTAACGAGCAACCCAACTCAAATTGAGCTGCCTTCCAAAGATGGAGAGCTCTCTCTCTCTCCACTAACAAATTTCACGTCATCCCTGCAAACACGCACTAACAAATCAAGACCCGCCCCAAACCAACCTCCGACATCATCAGCCACCATCTTTTTTATAAGCTGCAGTTCTCTAACAATCGAATCATAATGTCGGGCGGTGTTAAGAGAGATCGCGACGGCAATGCTCGTGTGAAGAATGCGGGCCCGCCGAAGCAGGCTGGGCCGAGGGGGAGGTTTCATGATATGTTTGAAGGGTTTCGTGATGAGCTTGATGAGCATCATGATCGACGGGAGAGGATTGTGAAGGCATCGCGAGATGTCACTGCCCAGAGTAAGAAGATGTAAGTTTTCAAGACTTAAGTTTATGAGTGCAAGCTTTTCTAACCAGTTTATAGTATCTTTGCGCTTCAGAGGTAAGCAAGCTCATAAAGTAGATCTCAGTGAAAGTCTGCTCACACATCACAGAGTCAAGCATCTCAACAAAGACTTCCCTCATCACATCCAGCAAGACATGGATACACGTCTCGAAGAAATTTCCAAACTCCTCAAGGGAATCGCACCAGATGTTCAGAATGTCAACCGCTATCGCTACACCTTTTCCCTCCGCTGTCTCGAAGAATTCGTCGAGGCTCTCTCTTTCGCTCACTACCTCCGCCACCAAACTCTCATCACACCCGCACAAGCACAAGCTGCTATGCCCAGCGATATAGCCCTCACGCCAAATGACTACATGTTCGGTATCTTCGATCTATTTGGTGAGATGATGCGCTTTGCAACTGTTACAACAGCTCAGAATGGTGAATTGGCTGGTGATGGAGGACGAAATATCATGAGTGATATTCAAGAGCTTGGGTGTGAATTTGAGATCCTGCCTGATGTGCCGACGAAGGATTGGAGAGGAAAGATGGCCGTGATGAGGCAGAGCGTCAAAAAGGTTGAGAGGTTGGGGTATGGACTTGTGGTGAGAGGGAGTGAGAGGCCAAAAGGTTGGGTGCCGGATATGAAGGATGATGCTCCTGAGCCTGCGTCGCCATGAACATTCAACTTCAGCTCATAATGTAAGGAAACCGGGCGTTGGCTGTTGTCGGGATATGATATGCTACGTGGTTGAGTTGCTAGAGCTGGCTGCTCTGATATCATGGCCAATTTGCTTAAGGAAAACAGCTTGATACAAAAGATCACTTCAAGATATGTTTCTTTTTATCCCGGAGCCTATTCTTTCATGAAACGATAGTTTACCTGAAATGAAAGTGCCAGCTCTGGTGTGTCCACAATTGCTCGAATCTTTGAACAATGGAACTTCTGAGCTTTGGCACATCGATTCCATTGAGCTAAAGATTGGTGGTGGACAAATGAGAAATCACATTTTCTGTAAGGGTATAAGACAATTGAATCGATTGACCCTGCATCGCCTATTGACATTCACGGGAACAATCATTGTCTATTCAACGGCTGTCGCCAACTGGCAGCGATTAAGCAATAACATGAGAAGGGAACGTGCAGCAAAATACATTGTCATCCTTTAGGGCTCTTTAGGGTCAAATGAAGGCACCAATATCACCTCGTCTTCTCTTCAAAACTTGAGGGTTGGTCTTTCATCTTCCACCCGCGAACATCCCCATTCGCACCTCGCACTTCTCATCTCAACACTATATCTTTCGTCTCGACCACCGAGGAGAAACTTGAGTTTCAAATAATCTTGAACAGGAGCTGGCGCCCTATTATTAGGCTCTAAAAGGACATATCGTCTTGAAGGCGCCCTCGCTCAGATTCGTTAGGCCTTGTCTGCCTCTTTTTTCAGGCTCGAGCAAGTCAACTTCTCTTCTCTCTCTTCAACCACCACCACTGACTTTTTCCCCCGAGAAGTGACGACGCACAGGCAACTGGTAAACGGGTAAAAACCCCCTCGAAGCTTCTAACAAATCATTCTTCTCCACTAGATCATCATTTCGAGGCGTTTTCACAGGCGCAGCTTCAGCGATACCGGGCGTTCAAAATCCGGATCCAGGCGTTTCTTTTCATGGGACAAAACTCTTAAGCCAAAGACTCAAGATGAATCAACGTTCTCCTCCATCGGGCGAGAAGACCTCTGCGGACCCGTCAATCCGCCCAAACCTATCCGATTCTCGGCCTGAAGATCTTCAAGGCGCCGACTTACCCAACCTTCAACAAGAAGCAGAAAAACCGGCGGTGCAGAATGAAGAAGCAGCCTGTTATCGAACAACATTCTTCGTCAATGTCGACTGGAGTATGGGCTCAACACTTGCGACGGCAAAGAACATCGTTGGCCAGATGTACGTTGAGGGTTTGGAACCTCTAGTGAGACTCTGTCCATACCCTATCATCCTCATCCATGGAGACTTTCACACTGGTCAGGTGAGTAGCGTTACCAACATTCATAATACCGCCTGACTCTAAGTCCCCATAGGTCTAGACAACTAAGCCAGACGGTCAGCCTGGATGGGCCTCGTTCTTCCTCAACAAAGGCTTTCAAGTCTTCATCGTTGATTTGCCCCCTTCCGGTCGCTCCAACTTTTTAACAACCTCTCACTACATCCACCGCGAAGTAGGCGTCAGCTCCAGTTCGATCCCGGCAAGAGGAGTCGAATCAAGCCTGACGGCGCCTGGTGTACCTCGAGAAGTCGGCGTGCCCCTCCAATATCCAAAGGCTAAATTTCACGATAAATGGCCCGGCGTAAGTGTGGAAGCCTGTGTATATTATACAAGTGCTGACGATGTATAGACTGGAATGCGTGGGGATCCCATCTTTGCCAGGTACTGCGCCTCCTTGGAGACTCTTCACCTCAACAAAGTGGAACGCCAGTCTCTCGCTCAGAATGCCCTCCAAGCGCTCCTACGCCATGTTGGCAAGTCTATCCTCGTAGGCGAAGGATCAGGTGGAGCTGCGGCTTGGTTGGCTACCGACGTTGAACCTGATCTCGTCGCTGGTGCTATTGCTCTTGAGCCACCAGGACCCCCTTTTGGCACGGCGTGCCCCAAAGAACGAAATCCTTACCGCGAGTACACCCCTTTCATTCAGTATGAGGAAGGGACCCGAATCTACGGATTGACGGACATTCCTCTTACCTACGATCCTCCTGCTCACCCCCATGGAGGATATGATCATCCTGAGAAAAACCCGCTCGACATAACCGAACATACGTCGGTTGACGGAAATAGCGAATGCCTCCTACAGTGTAAAAGGGCCCGCAGGCTCATCAACATCAAGAAAGTGCCCAACGCCGTTGTCACTGCGCATGCCAGCTCGCATGGCATGTATGACTGGGCCACAGTGGCCTTCATGGTGCAAGCTGGCGTCAAATGCGAGCTGATTAAGCTCCAAGACAAGAACATATTGGGCAATGGGCATCTGATGTTTCTTGAGACGAACAGCAATGAAATTGCTCAGGTTCTCATGGATTGGATTTTGGAGAACGCGATACCAGCGCCCTTTCAAATGTTAGTGTCAGAACCTACACCACCGCCAGAGTTCAGCGAGTTTGCGGACACTGTCGAAAGACTGGGTCCTCAAAGAGAGCCTAGTGTCGAATCAATCAGCTCGCAAAAGACACAATTGCTGGACTCTAAGCCGATGGACCAAGAAATGAGCCTAGTTCAGCTCCCAGAAACACCACAGCCCTCGGGCGAGCAAGAAACCAGGCCTCATCAATCCGAGTCCTCGGGTGGACACTCGATTGGAAACTCCAACAAGAGAGCCGCTCTGTCGTCTGGACAGACAACCATCAGTATTGCTAATGGTACCGATTCTCCTTATCTACCTTCAACATCGGTCGATAATCCGAAACGACGACGAGTAATTCTCGCCACTGGCATGTCCACTCCATCGTCAGCATCTTCTGCAATCTCATCTTCTCAGGAGAGGTCTGACCAGACACAACCCAAGGAAGTTGCTCAAGTCCCAGAACAGCAGATCCAGACTACAGCGGCAGAGAAACCTGTTTACGATATCTCCCTGTTGAAGCCTACTCTTCCAGGAGAAGTGCCCTCTTATCTGAAACTCCCAGCCAACAAAGGCAACCAGCCTTCGATGGCAAGCCCTGCATTGAGCCTCCCCAGTCAACTTCAAGCTTCCCGGCTCTTCAACGGTCGAGCAAGCACCTTGTATGAGCGTTTGCCTATTGCTCAGCAAATCAACGCATTGCAGAGAGACTATCAGCGAAGTTTCACCCCCAACAAGGGTCATACGACGGCCCGCTTTGAGTGTCAAACTGGATCCGCTGAAGAGATTGCAGCAACCATGTATAATCAGAATCGTCTTCCCTCTGGCTTGGCTTACCCTGGTACAATCCCAGGACCGAAGTTTGGGCCATGGTCGCCCATTCCACAGGTACAGCAACAGGGTTCCTATCCCCAACGACTGGACCATTCGCCTGCACTGAGTGGCAGAGGAGGACTCATGCCGGTCCCGACTTCGACACCAACCGGAGATCAGTTTACAACGGCAACTCTTGCTGGACCTTATACCCCTTTGATGCCACCTTCGACACTGGGCGGTCACTCGTACAACCCTTTTGGTACTTATCCGCAGATGACGCCCCCGAGTCCATCTCCTGCTCCTAGGCCATCATCGAACCCTCCTGCGCTCAACTTGAGCATGAGATCACCTGCTGCTCCTGCGCGGCCGAAAACACCGGCCTCCAAGTGAGGTCTCTAAGTCGTGCCTGAGTGGAGGCTAGTTTTTGGTATGGGCAGACATTTACAAGTGATCAGGCGTGATATCAGAAAGGCTATGGGTTATGCGGACAGTGTTGATCTGGGCATATTAAGCAAAGCATGAGATGTAACTTGCTATAGCCAATATTCCTCGAAATGAATATTTTGGAGCAGATAGTAGTATTACCATAATGCGTTGTCAGTGTAATGTGATGTTACTAATAATTATTCACGAAGTTAAGTTATTAGTTCAATGCAATCTAGGTAACAGGAGCTCTAGCTAAAGTGGAGAGCTGACGCCATAGCTTGCACCGCCACCCGTTCCCGAGCTGCCTACAACGCCACAATTTCCCCATTCATCCCCCACATGACCTCCCCGGAGCGCTTCCCTATGGGCCTCGCATCATCGATGACTGACCCGAACTTTCCATCGCTTTAACCTTTTTAACCTCGAAACCCAACCCTATTACGACACCTCCTCGTACGACCTTTCTTTCAACCAACTCAACTCACAAAAAATCGAAGGAATTCTCGCTACGTACGCGCACAATCGCCGCGATGGCTTCCAACACCAAGTACCAGCCGGCTCCTCAGAGCGACCCCGACGACTACACCCACGCGCCCCCCGCCTACGCTGAGGGCTCGGCTGCTCGCGATGAGACTCAAGGCCTCTTTGGTGCGCCCCGCAATAGTGAGGACAACCTTCCAGATGATTTCAAGGTAGGAACAAATATCGCTCGATGCAAAATGAATAAACAAATGCTGACATGATGTCCAGTTTGGTGGCTCTGTAGCTGAGGCTACTGTTGATATCCGCAACCAGTTCGTTCGCAAGGTCTACACCATCCTTACTGTCCAGCTCCTCGCCACTGCTGGAGTGAGCAGCCTCACATTCTTCAGCACTGGTTACAAGGACTGGATCCAAAGCCACCCCGGTGTCGTTTGGGCTTCGGTAAGTTCTCACTCAGTAGCGAGATCATGACTATGAACTACTAACACCCTCACAGCTCTTTGGTGCCATGATCTTCATGGGTTTGACCTACTGGAAGCGCAAGTCTTACCCGACTAATCTCCTCTTCCTCTCGCTCTTCACCCTCGCCGAAGCTTACACCATCTCTGTTATCGTATCATTCTACAAGACATCCATCGTTCTCAACGCTGTCGTACTTACTGCCGGTATCTTTGTCTTCCTCACTCTCTTCGCCTGCCAGACAAAGTACGACTTCACATCATGGATGCCTTACCTCTTCGGTGCTCTCTGGGGTCTCGTTATCTTCAGCTTCATGGCCATGTTCTTCCCTTACAGCTCTACCGGCGAGCTCATCTACGGCGGCCTTGCTGCTCTGATTTTCAGTGGCTACATTCTCGTCGACACCCAGCTTGTCCTTCGCCACCACCATGTCGAGGAGGAGATTGCCGCTGCCATCAGCCTCTACCTCGACATTATCAACCTCTTCCTCGCTATTCTGCGCATTCTCAACAGCCAGTCTAATAACTAAGCGCTGCCGACCTGTAAGAGTTTAACGAGGTGTAGACGCGAGACCTATGGACCGATGACTCGGTTCTTAACTTCCATCCCTGTGCTACCAAGATTGTGTTATGCGAGCTGTGTCTGATTAAAGAGCTATCTTAATTTGTGTCACGGACGGTTTCCCTAGTCAGACTATGGACTTTGGCGTTTTTGGAGAGAGATTGGTTTCCTTTATTATACGTTGATTGGGCTGTCTAAACAGCTTATACTTAGTACATGATAATTGATAGTCATCATCATAAACCTAGAAACCATTGAGTATTTTGGAGTAACAGGATGCGGTGAGTGTTCAATGGTTCAGCAATCGTATTACAAAAAATATTGAATTTATTTGATATCAGCATTAGAAGGCCACTAGAAAAAAGAAACAATCAAGGTTGTGTCGCCCAAGAATGGGCAACGATGTACACCCAATACAAGTCTAATATGACCACAAGATGGCACCAGGACACGACAATATGTCCTATCCGCCAGTCGTCTGCATGCATCGTATCGTAGCGCAAGGGCGTCTTCATCCCTTAAGACACTCCCCGCACGCTGCGTCCCTACAACAGCCAGATACATAATGACCCTCCCTTGAGAATGCTTCTAAACAACGGGTAGCCGCCCGCCATGAGTTTTCCAGGGGAACCGTTTCCGGATGGCATGCCCAGAATCGTTTAAAGAATAGCAGACGTCTGACGAGTGAAGCAGGGCGGCGAAGAAAAAAGAAAACGACAACTCAATTGTTCAGCAGCAGGGGGAATATTCTCATCTTTCTCTTCAGTCGTGGGAGAGGAAAAACCAACGCCAGCAATAGACAATAGCCCAACGTCGCATTTTTGAAACACCGCAAAAGACCTAAAATGTGAAGTGATAGGTCTAGTTGAGTTGCTCCTCACCATTGGGCTCGGGTGTGGCAGTGGCCTGAGAAGCAGCCTCTCGTTGCATGCGGGCCTCGATCTCGCGGAGCTGGGACTCGCGGGCCAGTAGCTCTTGTCGCTTTTCGTTGATCTCGCGCTGCACCTTGAGTTCGATCTCGCGCAGCTTCTCCTCCTCTCGTCGAAGTTGCTCTTCCTTGAGGCGAACGGACTGAGAGGCAAGGTCCTCGGGGTTCATTGAGCTGTCGGCACTAAAAAACATGTCAGCTGTGGTCAATATTCGAGGTTCTGGCCAAAACTCACTTTCCGGAAGCACCCTCGACGCTCTTAGATAGCTTCTCAGTACGGTAGTTCTCGTACAAGAAGTCGTGGGTGATTTCCTTCAAATCAGCCAAGTGGCTGTGAAGCAGGGCAGATCGAATAGCGAGGAAGTCGGAGTGACGAGGGTTGTCAACCTCGACAACACCCCAAGGGTAGTGACGAGCGCGAACCTTGCGACCACCAATCTCAACGACCTCCTCAGATCCAACAATGGCGAAAGGCATAAGGCCACGGAGCTCAGCATTCTCCTCAACGGTATCCTCATCGTCCTCCTCAATGTCGTAAGGGAAGTTGTAGACGGGAATGCGATAATGCTCGATATCCTCCATAACCAGCTTCTTGGACTCGGCAAGCTCAGCGGGGGTGAGCGAATCGGCGCGACCAATAACGGGGATAACGTTGACGCGGGGAGCGAGGCGCTTCATGAGCTCGATGTCGAGTTCTCGGAGGCTGCAAGTGTCAGTCGAAACCGAAGAATTAGGAGTTTGTCAAACATACCCATGACCAGTGGGGGTGATAAAGTATAGCATAGCATGGACTCGGTTGTCTCTGAAGCGGGGGTTACGCTTGATACGAGACTCCTCGGCAAGAATATCGTCATATTGTCTCTCGAGGTAGCCGACAATCTCTGAGAAGCTGGTATTGGGTTAGTGGAGGGGTAAGAACCAGAACCGCGATACTAGCTTACCTAGCCTCGTTGTCAATCTGGTCACCGAAGCCCGGGGTATCGACAATGGTCAGAGAGATACGAGTACCCTCCTCGTCAAGCTCAAGCTCTGTTGTCCAGTTAATATTGGTATGCTTGTAACGGCAATTGGATGTACGTACCGACGGTGATGGGCTTGATCTTGACACCATCCTCAACGTGCGCGCTACCAGCATCGTCGGACTCCTTGTGATCGAGCACGCTCTTTCCGCAGAGTGTGTTGACAAAGGTGGTACGGCCTGTCAATTGTAAGCTTGATGTATTATTTATATCGCGGCGAAGGCATTGTAGCTGTTGTCGCAGCGTCTCTCGCATGGGGCCACGTACCAGTGCCTGAAGCACCGCAGACCATCAGACAGAACTGAATACCCTTCTTGACATTCTTCTTTCGACGGATCATCTTCTATTGGGGAGTAGGAGTTAGCGAGCTGAGATCTAAATGGTAGGCGCGTGAAAGTTTTGGTCCGTGGAATCATGCGGAAACGGTAGCTTCAACGGCGGTGGCATCCACACGACAGGACAGGACCGGAAGGAGATAGCACATACACCCATGGACGACATCTTGAAGATTGGATTCGGGGTGACGCGACTAAGGTTAAGGTGAAGCTGAGGAGATACGGCAGGAATAGGTCGAAAGCACCAAGGTCGAGCAACGACTCAAATCGAGTATGGTTTTGCTTGCGGTGGTTGAAGTGGAAACTTGGGGAACCTGAACCAAGGGGAAAATGTTAAAGGAGGCTAGGAGCCAGGAGAGAAGGATACGGGTCGGGTTGGACTTGGTTGCTCAAGGGGTATGGGCAATTTCACACCTGGCCAATCGTTCCTCCTCTAAGATTCAGGGGAAGTGCCTAAGCTAGAGTGCCAGTGCTAACAAATGCCACCAGAGGGGAAGCAGGACCAGGCGGCAGGTGCACCCCTACACTATGAAATCCACACTTTCCAACACCCTGTAAAGCCAGACCGCCTTCCCGCCCAAGGGACCACTTAGCGGACCCTCACGACCGCCTTGCTTGGTGTGGCGCTTGCTTCAATCAGAGCTCATTCTTTTGTTTCATCACGTGATGTTATGCGTCTGTCTCTTGGAACCTCTCGGGATGGTAGAAAACTTAGGACTTTTATCCTAAGTGATAAAAATACTTCGATACCTGTAGTTAGGATATTTCAAGGTAAACCTAGTAGGCTCTTTGACTAGTTTATTTTCACCCCTTGATTCAGAGTCTCAAGTGTTGACAGGAATCTGGTACTGAGTTGCGCCACAATAAATTGTTGGTATAAGTGGCTGAATGGTAAGAACTGTGGCTGTTAGGTACCGTGACGCGGTTCGAGTTGTCCAGTGGATGAGACATAGACAAATAAGAGTATCTCTGACATCGAACGCTACCTTCTATCTATGAGCCCGCTTTTGGATATAAGGCACATTATTATCGTTATTATTGTTGATTTTCTGTTCATTTATAGATTTCTAACACAATCTTGCATATCCTGAAGCCTCTTTGCACTCTAAATTAAGTCCCTCCGTTACGCAGGTACGGGCTCTACTCATCACTGGTGGATCTGTAAGCGACATCACATAAACCTACATAATAAACACATAAGGTTTCGGAGCCTTCGAGATGTTATTCATTTCATGGTAACATTCTTTGATAAGCTTTGTCAAACATTTATCATTACTCGGAGCTTGTTTCCCGACATCAACATCACGTTCACCTCAGCTTTACCCCTCTCAGCTCTCGCACCGGAAACACTAGATCCGTAGGCCTAGACTTATACATATCAACTCATTCACGATGAACGTACGGCCACCGATCGAGGCTTCTAGCACTGAGGCTGTTTTATCTGTCTCTTTCAATAACGATGCAAGTTGCTTTGCTGTAGGTCTTGGCTCAGGTATCTGCAGTAAGTCGTCTTCTACAATCCTATGTACTTACCTTCACTAACACTCATCTCAGTTTTCCACACAAAGTCATGCCTTCTCAAGGCTTCGAGAGGTATGTTCATCATATAAGGCTTATACATGCACATGCTCACAGCCTCATAGATTTCAACGCTGGCATCGGACTCGTTCAGATGATGGGTACAACCAACTACCTTGCTCTGGTTGGTGGCGGCAGGTCGCCCAAGTTCGCCATGAACAAGGTAAGCCATCGTGGAAAGCTACCGAGATCTTCGCTTACCGGAAAACAGGCTATAATATGGGACGATATGAAGGGAAAAGTTGCCTTGGAAATCACAGCATTAACAGCAATTCGCGGTGTCCAACTGGGTAGGGAGCGCATCGCTGTTGTCCTACAAAATAGCGTTCGCGTCTATTCGTTCGCTAAGCCTCCGGATCTACTTCATGTCTACGAAACTGCAGACAATCTCCTTGGCCTTTGCTGTCTTTCTGAGAAGAAGCTTGCCTTCCCCGGCCGGACTGCTGGACAGATACAACTCGTCGAGTTGGCGACCGGGAATGTCAGCATCATTCCGGCCCACTCTTCAGCCCTCAAAGCCATTGCATTAAGCCCAGATGGCGAACTTCTGGCCAGCGCAAGCGAAACAGGTACACTAATCCGTGTTTACGCCACAAGTAACTGTGCAAGACTTGCTGAACTTCGGCGTGGCATTGATCCTGCGACTATCTTTTCTCTTGCCTTCTCACCTTGTGGAACAATGCTTGCCTGTACCTCTGACAAGTCCACCCTTCACATCTTCGACGTACCACATCCACGAAAGCCAGGAATGAGCCGAAGTCAACAGCTCGGTGCGTCTGGATCAGACCCTGGCGACGGGACAGGGAAATGGGGCATTCTCAGCAAGATTCCACTGATGCCTCGAGTCTTTTCCGATGTCTACTCTTTCAGCTCAGCGCCTTTTGAGGCTGGTGATGAAGCTGCCATAGGGGGCATTTCTTTCTCGGAGAGCACTGTTCTAGGAACATCGCGACCTCCAAAGGGCGTCATCGGCTGGATCGGCGATGATAGTCTTGTTGTTATAGGAGCTGGGCATGATGCACGATGGGAGAAGTTCATTATTGTTGACGGTGAGGACGGAAAGCGACACTGCGTAAGGGAAGGCTGGAAGCGCTATTTGGGCAACACATGAGCTAAGTGAGGCCATGCTACAAGGCAAGTTAATGATCACAAGGGATACGACTCTTAATGCTGGGCAAATCTGGGATGGGCGTTTGAGGGGTTCAGGATAAGTAGAGCTACTTTGGGCTGAGTGAATATTGTTTTATTACAGCATAATGTGCTTTAATTGTCGCGCCGTCGAGGCGACCGACTTCTACTCCGTCTCCTTGATGTTTTCTCTTCCTGGTCTTCTTCTCTGCGTCGTTTGTGTCGCGACTCGTCATGGGCGTCGTCCCTATGCCTTCCATGCTCTCGGTCGCGGTCTCTCCTCCGATCTCGGTCACGACTACGGTCGTCCTCGTCATCTTTT